CAATCATAGGTTGCAAATCTATGTCTGACGCTTAACGCAATCATCAAGGAACAATTCATGTAATAGGCAATAATGAAACCGCCCTGTTCTTTACGTAAAAGAGTCTTAATAGGAATAGTTTTATGTAATAAATGATTCAATCAAAGAGGAAGAAAACAACTAAGGATGGGCAACTGACTCGTTCGTGGGCATCACGTGACTTTTACTCGGGTGTTGACATGTATGTATGTTACCTGGTATGGCAAATTTGCTACACAGCAATCAAAATACGGTAGTTCCGTTTTCAACACATCGCCCACGATCACTTGCAGCTTTGAAGCTTGTTGGCTATCAGAAACAAAACATATCAACGTTTAGATCAACGTTACTCTGCTTTAACATAGTCGCTTATTTTGTCTGTAATATACACTAGGTGGAGAGATGTATTTTTCAAAATAAAGAAAAATCAAAATAGAAAAATTTGTTCATTTTCAAAGTAGCACGACGAAGTGAAATCATAGCATACTAGTTTACTCTTTGCCTGACACTTCTCTGAGTTGAAAAACGTGGGGGTAATCACTATAGTAAAATAAGAAAAGTTCAATTGAACATTCCCTATCAATTATCCGATTGACATCAAACAAGAACAAGTAATTGCATAAACAACAAGAAATGCATGATTGCTTCGTCTTTCAGGGGAGAATGACTCATCTTTAATGCAAAGATACTTTCTTTCTCTGAAACACAAAATCATTCTTGGAATACCATTATTAACAGCTAGAGGTAGAACGCTAATACAAAATTGTCCCAAGCAACTTACGTTCCTTGAACCCTTTTCTGCAATTCAGCTGCCATTCTTGGATCTAACTCACACGCAATCACCTGGAAGGAATCCAAACAATACACAGGTATCAAGAGACATTCTACAGTTATGAATGATTTAACCACTGAAGCCGTGACGGTACCTAGTAGGGAGTTGGGGGAGGTCATTGCCCCCTATACTTCTAAAAATCGATAAAACAAAAACTAGTTTTATTATATATTAAGGGGTATGGTAGGTTTAATCTGAAAAGATTTACGGTTATGGAATAGCACGATATGAAAAGTGGAGCATCGAAATAACCTGATCATTTAAACCATTTTTTTAAATCTGTAAAAACTATTTTCTACCTTTTTAGCTTTATCCAGAATTTTCACAGTCATGTTTCCAGTTCCAGGGCCAATCTCAAGAACTGTATCAGTGCTTTTAATTGCAGCCTAGAAAAAGAGGATGCTATTTTAAGCCAATAGAAATTCAGCAACAGTTTCACTTCACAATGAGATAAAAATACAGCCTTTGCGATCTTTTGTGATGCTTTCAATCTCAGCAAACATTGAGAGATCAAACATTTGTTTTTCAGCTTATAACAGAAAAACAGAGTTTTTACTTTGTCAAAATCCAAGAAATTGGAAATAAGCAATGAAAATCTGCTTAAAAAATTTGAACAAGAAACTTATATCAGTTTTAAAATAACAAATGTTGGATAAAGCTGCCATTTAGGAGAAGATATCTTACTGAAAAAGATTCGTTTCATGCCATATCCTATAAAAGTACCAGTTCCAAGCTTTCTAATAAAAAGGCTGTGTCACGAGTAGTGTATGCAGGAGGGGTATAGTAGACCCAATCATTTTTCTAAACATTGCTCTCGAAATTTCTAACCAATTCAAGCAAATTGGCAACTTTGTGTGGGTAGAAGCAGGCAGGTCCATTACATTTTAAGTTTACTGATCATTACAGGTTGGTTTACCTTTTCAATGCAAAAAGATTTAGGTATTGTACTTTCCCCCTTAAGGGTTTCAAATGTTTTTATTCATTATTATTTTCTAAAGGCTTCCAAGGGGAGTCAAGGGGCATCAAAGGTGTTGCACCACCTGCGATGTTCTATGCTGTTCCCAGTGATTATCATGAATAAAAATTCTTCATAGAGAAAAATCTGCTTAAAGTTTTTTTAGTTCTCTTTCACTGTTATGAAATCCACAATATCTGGCTTATACACCTTTCCATTACTTAAATTGTGTAATGTACCAGGCAGTAAGAAATATTTTGAGGACCAAATTGGAACTAGTAGCAGGAGACCTACCAGGAAATTTCCTGATTATTCAAAAAGCCATGAATGTTTTCATAAAGAAACAAAAATCTTTTAGTCTATGATTTAAATCAAGGTAATTCATTTCTTCGCCAAAATATGTCATTTTCAATTTGCACTTGTTTGGCAGATGTTTTCCCATCATCTTAATTTCTTCCATCGTAATATGTCTTTATGACTTTTGTGTGGAATTAATACAGTTGACTCTACTGTCACAGTCACAGTACAGTTTACAGTCACATAAAATTTAGACCAGAATATACAAAACTGTTCAATTCAAGATGAGTTTACAGTCACACGCCGCTTGATGTCTCAGAATTTCAAGAAACATTGATATGACTATAACTGTATCTATTTTTGTTGTAGTTAAATTTTGCCCAGCCAAGTTTGTTTTTTAAAGGTGGAGATGAAGTGAAATTCATTGTTGTTGTTTGTTCTGTTGTTTGTTTGTTCACTTAAAGTCACAGTACAGTTTACAGTCACATAAAATTTAGACCAGAATATACAAAACTGTTCAATTCAAGATGAGTTTACAGTCACACGCCGCTTGATGTCTCAGAATTTCAAGAAACATTGATATGACTATAACTGTATCTATTTTTGTTGTAGTTAAATTTTGCCCAGCCAAGTTTGTTTTTTAAAGGTGGAGATGAAGTGAAATTCATTGTTGTTGTTTGTTCTGTTGTTTGTTTGTTCACTTAAAGTCACAGTACAGTTTACAGTCACATAAAATTTAGACCAGAATATACAAAACTGTTCAATTCAAGATGAGTTTACAGTCACACGCCGCTTGATGTCTCAGAATTTCAAGAAACATTGATATGACTATAACTGTATCTATTTTTGTTGTAGTTAAATTTTGCCCAGCCAAGTTTGTTTTTTAAAGGTGAAGATGAAGTGAAATTTATTGTTGTTGTTTGTTCTGTGAGCTGACATTGGCATGCTGTTTGAAAAGCATTTCGAGAAAACAGACCGTGAGAATGCAACACAAAACAATCATCATCATCATCATCATCATCATCATCATCATCATCATCATCATCATCATCATCATCATCATCATCATCATCATCATCATCATCATCATCATCATCATCATCATCATCATATCATCATCATCATCATCATCATCATCATCATCATCATCATCATCATCATCATCATCATCATCATCATCATCATCATCATCATCATCATCATCATCATCATTGGTTTAACATCATTTTTCTCATTTTCTGGGATTAGACTTCATAAAAGTTATGTCTGCATGGTGCCAAGCAACCTTGACAGCAACAGTACTATTATTTCCATTATTATTGATAGTTTAAACCAGGGGTCTGCAACCCGCGGCCTGCGGGCCACATGCGGCCCGCAAGGTACTTTTGTGTGGCCCGGAAGGCCCCTGTTAACCTGTAAATAATGTGGCCCAATGCACGAGTGTCAGCTCGATATTGATTCAGTGATCTTAGATTCTTGCCTAGATTAGTCACTGGAACAAGCTGAACAAGAAGCTTCAAGGCCATTGTCAATTTGCAAATGTCATCTGAAACAATGGAACTTGGTTTACTTTCCATCTTCAAATGGAGTTGATCGAGCTGCAGGGTACCAGTGAATTGAAACAGAAATGCAAGGAAACTCAGATGAAGCACACGAAGAGTCGACTGCGATCTCGAGTGACTGATCAGCACCTTGAAGGCACCTTGCGGCTGCCAACATCAACAATTCTGCGTTTGTATTTAGGTACAGCTTCCACGTTAAAGTACATTTACCAATAAATACATTTTTATTGATTAGATTAGTAGTCAGGTAGAATTGGTATATCTTAAAATTTTACTGTATTTTGAGTTGCGGCCCTCGTATGCATTTCAAAAATCAAATTTGGCCCCCTGTTTTATAAAGGTTGCCGACCTCTGGTTTAAACTGACAATTTGCTTCTTGACGAAGTTTCAAGTTGGAAAAGAGCACAGCACAGTGCAACTCCCTGCTATCACTGCACTGTGGACCATTTGTCTTTTTATCTTATTAGAGCACATCGGCAAAAATTTAGGAGAGGTAAAATAATATTGTCTATGTATAGTTCAATTTATGTGTATATTTGTAAATTGCAATCAATAAATTTTGATAAAAACTTCAAACCTTTTCAATTATTCCGTTGACAACAAGGGGGTTTTTGAGAATATGTTGTCCAATCTCTGTGTTGAACTGTATACCTGAAAGAGACCAGACAATAATTAATAAACTGAAGTAATAACCTGACCAAATTGTCCAGCCCTGCATTGCTTTAACTTCACATACATCTTGCTTCCTTATTTGAAAAACGTAAATAAACAGATGTCCACATTAAAACCTAGTACCAAGGTTAATTGAACAATCAAACCAACTATGTAGAGAGCGACACTAATACCTTATAATGTATGGAGATGTACCAGATTGATATATCACTGTCTCCTTTTACATGGAGGATAAAACGCAGTAACTAATCTCTCTATTCCTGTTGCTTTGAATGCTCTAGCTTTCACAACACCAGGCTTTTTCGTAAGATATAAGTTTCCCTTACGCGAACAGTTTCTCTAAAAATGGTAAGAATAATCAACAATACTAAAATTGTCTGTATGATTACAAAAACCATATATACGTGTATGATCCTGTTATAAGGTTCATTGAACAGACCAAAATTTAGCCAATTGTCCCTATGTAGAATGCAGTCATGTCTGATTTCATAGAAGATATTTTCATGAAAGACTTTCTTCAAAAAAATCACAGAGACTGTGACATAAAAGATGTGTGATGCTAATGCACTATGGTATCTCTGTTTGGGATTTGGGTCAGGATCCAATAACTGTCTGAGAGGTAGAGTGGTGTCGCCCTCTTTGTTCACTAGCAAGAATCTGCATGGTTTGAATAAATCTTGTTAAAATGTAAATAAGAGTAGACTGGGCTTAGTTTCTTTCAAAAACGGTGCCAAAATATCTTTCTGACGTCTAATCTTCAGTTGTGGGCTGTTCCTGATTTTTTCTAAAAAGAAATATAGTTTTCCAACAAGTTTTTCAAGTGCTTGCCGTGAACCAGTTCATGAGTATCCTTAAATTCTGCCTTTCTGTGTATTGATGTTCCAGACACAATGAATTGATGTTCCAGAGTTAAAAAATTAGAACATGGATCAGGAGGTGTTTTTTGAGACCAATGTTGATTGGCTGGAGATCGCCCTCTTGGTTCACCTGTTGCTTGCTACAAGTATTTTAATTCGCTTTCAGAAATTCACAAGGTTGAAGTCATTCGGTTTCAGAATGGAGTAAGAAACAAGGGGGGGGGCGTGGGGGGGCTGCTTGATAAAACAGTTTGAGAAAAAGAAAGCATTAATTTGTGAATCAATTTAGGGAAATTTTTTCACATATTTGGTTTTTTTGGAAGAATTGATTATGCACAAACAATCATTAATTTTCAAAGTTTGCAAAAATTGTAATTTTCAGGTGCACCACAAGGGCCAGTGTGGAATCCATGTAGCTTACGCTGGATATATCCGACATGGACTAATGATTTCCTATTGTCTTTCTATTGTTTATTGGCGTATATCTGGTGTGAGCTTTACATGGATTCCACCCTGGCACAAGGGCGACAAGCCCAGATTTCATAAATAAAAACAATCAGTTGTTCAACTTGCTAATACTAGGAAACTGTTTTGAATATTAAACTTGGATCCTAATGGAATATAAAACACACATTTCGAAAGCTGTAAATGGTGTATATTGTTTTTATACGTTGCTTACAGTTTTTTTATTAGCTTTATTAGCCTATGTATGAAAAAGGGCACGCCACTCTTCATACAATAGAGTGCTAGAGTGCATCCAGATTGGAATTTTTGAAAGATGCGTGGGGGATCTGTTGCATGTCAATGAAAATTGCGCATTTGCAAATAACACAGATAAAATTTTGTGCAACTGAGACTAATTACTGTAAAAACACAGTATGTTACTTTCAGGTATACATTTCAGAGAGAAAACATCACTAGTGGTGATAAAAAACAATATAGCAAAGATAAAAATTTTGATAATTCCTAAAAATAAGAACGAGAGGGACCCAACCAGATGAGAATTGTTTCGGTAAACCAAAAACTGCTCAAACTTTGAAAACTTTGTGCATGGTTGGTAATAAATTAGATCATCCTGTTCCATGTGTATTTTATTCCCAGAAATGATAAAAATATCCTTCACGTGTTTGTTTTTATTTGGCATATGTGTGTACAAACACCAGCCTCGTGTGTACACAAGCATTCCAATCTTGGAGTGCATCATGTCCGTACATTTTCTTTTGGAAGCTTTCCCAGTTTTGATAAAAACTGTCATAACGCAAGGAACTCAGCTTTTAAAAAGAGCCGAAAAAACCAAATTTATGGACAGAACTCATAAGAGGCAGAAAGTTCTTGTTAGACAATCGATAATAGCAATTACATTTCTGTAACAAACAGGTTATCTGCCACATAAATTTATGGAGACCTCATTTACAACATATGAAACGACGACTCAAAAGAATATACTATCTGTTAAGAACTCAATTTTCCACTCTCATTTTACCATGTTTACTACAATCCATCATCTCCCAACTCCTCTTTTTTAAAAATCTTTCTTTACAAATAATACATAATCATAACCAACAAAACAAAGAACAAATCACTGCAACACACATTCAACACCCCTGGGGACATTCACACATAATACACCTACAGAACAGAACAAATGCACAATTATAACGCTTGAACACCACTGAACAAACAATGATAACTAACAATGATAAATCAGCCGCTTTATGCAACAAGATTACTCCAAATACGCAATCATAATGATAACACTTTAAGCACATGAAACATAATGTAACCTAACCCCCAATTTAAGAACGAAATGTGTATCAATTTCTTCGAACAACAATTTCAACAACGGTTCATGTACTTGATTAGCAGCTCAAACAGTTTCTTATAAGTAACTCAATAGATCAATCTTTGAAAGTCCAATTTTCAAATGGATCTACTCATGTAGTCTGCTCCCACATTGTCCGATCCTTGTTAAATGTTGAATAAAAGCACTATTACATTCAATCTTACTACATAAAATTGAAATCTTAAGGACAGAGGGTGTGGTTTTACCTTGCTTAACAACTTCATTGTGCACTCTTGTCTTCTTTTCCACTCTAACCTTAGGCATTTCTGTATATTCAATGTTCGTCCCTTTTTCCCAGCATCAACATGGTTCAATTCAACATGGTCGTCAAGATTGCCTCGTGTTCGTTTACTCCGTCTATAGCCGCCTCGTTTTGACGGAAACCTGAACTGATGTCTAACTCGGGTCATGCTGTGTACTGCCGAGTGAGGCAAATTTGTTTAAAAATGGAGCAAATATGAAACACCGCAATACGCCGAGAATAAACAACAATTATATTATTTAAAAAAGGCGATGGTGGTGTCGGATTGGCTGATGTAGAATGGTTTGAATGCAGCGCAGTGGTAGAGGAGGGAATTTCTTCTCTCCATCTTACACGCTGTTATGCAAATATCATTCTAAAACCTTGCGAGACTTTTCCTTTTTCATGTCAACAGATAAAACTATGGAATCAAGTTATGAAAACCATAAGAATATTGCTTTGAATTTTCTCCCGTTAAAATCTATTTGATGTGCTGTTTCTGGCCATTCCTAGATTAATA